TTGCTTTCTTCATAATGTTGTTTATAATGTGAATTGGTTCTTGTATGCTTCTGCCCAGAAGTCCTGCCCAGTTATTGTTGTATAATATCTTGTGTCTGGTACATATTCCTACTAGTCTTGTTGCTAAAATACTTATAAATACCTTTTTTGTGGTCTCCAACAATATGATAGGTCTTGTTATATTGATGTCTCCTAGTCAGTCTTTGGATTTGGGAATTGGGTAGGATCTTATTGAAAAGGATCTTTAACATTTTTAGTCCATCCTTCCCCAGGTTTTTCAGCAGGATGTATATTATTTTAAATACCCTGGAGTTCTTGTACTCTTCTTCTTTTTAATTGTGTTGCTTATCTCTGATCCTCAATCCTGTCTAGAGTTTTTTCAAATCAGTCTTTCTGAATGTCTTATTTGGAAGCATATTGCTGTTGCCAATGTGGGTATTTCTTCATATCCAGTACCTGTCTTGTTCGAGTCCATTCTTGGAATTGCTTATTGATTTTGTCCTTAATTTCTTCTGGATCTGTTATTATCTTCATCTCATTTTCTTGATTTCTTTCGACTAGCTACTGGGTATTTATGACTCTGGATTGCTGGTCCAGTATATTGTTAATCATCTTGAATAATTACTCTTTCAACTGCTTATATCTCAGTTCTATTCTTTTCTGGATCATCTTTCCTTTTACTTATTCTACTTTAATCTTGGTAATTGTGTTCTCTGCTTCCCAAATCTTTTTGGTTTTCAACAACCATTTGTATAGGGATTCTCTATTTTATAAAGTGTTCTTTTTGAAGAGTGGTGAAAGTGACAAGAGTGGGATTGGTGTATTAATTTCCTTAACTTCCTTCTTTATTGTCTTTCTGTCTTCTTCTATTTTGGAGCCTGGTTCTATAAGCCATGTCTGACACCTTCTATATATTTTGACAAGTTTGAGCTGTTTGTGTATCAGATGTTTGTATTTAGACTTGTATATGGTTCTAGTGTTTTTACTTCACTTTTTCTTTTTTAATATTGTTTTTGCGGCTGCCATTATTGCCTTTTTAAATTTGTTCCATATTACTTCTACTGTCTTTGGGTTTGCCCTTAGGATTTCCTTTGCTATTTTATCCATTTTCTCTAAGAAGTTGATCCACTGTTTTGGTGTAGAGTTTGGATAGTCAATCCTATTTTGCCTATTGTTCTTTCTGTTTGCCATGAACCATGCAGTATACTGAGCTCTAGCATGACCTTCTTGTGATCACTTTTAATAACTGTATCTACTGCAATATGATTTGTATTGATTACTTTTGGAAGTAGGGGGCTGGATGTCTAAACATGGTCTATTCTGCTTCTGTACTCTGATTCAGGCCTGTTGTAGGTATAACTTCTCTTGATTGGATTGACATATCTGTACATGTTACTAAGCTTGAATACTATTAGTGAGTCAATGATATTATGAGGTTTGCTTCCTCTATTTCTTTTCATCGTACGGTCCAGGTGTTCATCTGCTATCTTATTAAAGTCTCCCATTACTATAACAAACATTTTTTTTTCTTTTGTCTCAGTGATTTTTGTCTTGATCCATTGCTTTAGTTTAGCCCTGTCCTGATTCTTCACTTCATTTGCTGTGTTGTACACTGTTATAATTTGATATTGGATTTTTCTTTTAAAGGCCAAGTCTAGTAGCAGGCCTTGATTGTTGCACTCTTCTTTGTTGAACACATGTGTTGACCACTTCTTCTCTTCCACCATTGGACATAGCATCATAATTAAACAACTATTTTACCAAATTCTTATAAAAATAGTTATATAAAGACTCACAAGCACCATTTATCTAATAAAATAGTAACTATTAAATATAATCAGATGTACCTTTGGTGAATAATAATTAAAGAAATCAACTGACAAATAATAACACTCCACTTACAACTCTCAAAGATAAGCAACTACTATACAGATATGCAGAACTAAAAATCAAGAAAGTTCTTTTTCAGCCTTTCGAATAAAGAACTAATAATCAAGAGCAAGTTATATACAATGCTTCTATCTATCTATAAAAACAACAAATGTAATAAATGTAATGAGCTAGAAATTAGCAACTATTCTTTCCTCTACTAGCAACCCAGAGTAGAAACAAAAAATTTCTAATGGTTATAACTATAACTTGTGTGGAAAACTATATATAGAAGAAAGAATTTCAACTGTTACTATCCAGTTCTTAAATAAAAACAACCTGAATTATAAGGAATACTTGATAGCAAACATTAAAAAAGCCATCTCCAATGAACTTATATGTAGCCTCAAAACAGCTATTCTAGATAGAATAGAAAGAAAAAACTATATAATAGTAATTTATCTTAAGACTATTAAATATATATTAAACTTGGCAAAGAATATATGAAGCCTTCTAAGAGTGGAAAGCTAGGAAGGGAATCATCAAACAAAAAGAAAAATCATCAAAATACGAGACAAAAAAAGAAAACTTCACTATTTATATATCTGGTCAATAAGTTTATAAACCAATGAATCACAAATTTAATAGACAACTTTTATATATTTGAAATTTTTTTTAATCTTGACAGGTTAGATTCCTACTCTGGGAGTAACAACAAGTTACAAGGTGAATACCTTCATATAGAAAGATTCTATTGAGTTTTATTTGATAGTAAACAGGTAGTATATTCTAGAATAGCTTTTATATATTGATACTATATAATTACAATAAAGCAAGACTGAGTCAGTATTTTAAAAAAAAAAATAAAAATTTGATATAAATATAATATTTAGTAGCTATAGTTGAATTATTTGAAAATTATCATTAAAATTTTTTTATAATTTAAGATTGTAATATATTTCTAAGATAGTTTTGATAGAAAGATTTAGAATATTCTTAGAGATAATTTATAATAGTCAAATTTTAGTTTTGAATCTTTTGTATTTAATAGTAAGGGAATTAATACCATTTCAAGTTTAGAGTTATGGCTTTTCAAAATTAATTTCTAAAAATTTTTTTTGTGTATAGATTCAATTTCTTATTTGACTTAGATAATTTTTACTTTTTTTTTATTACTCTTCTATTAATAATATAGGGTTAGTTGTACTGATCAATATAGATTTACTCTTTATATTCAGATTTATTGAACTTTTCCTTAGATTTCTTAATGATGGGATAGTTTAAAATTTTTTTAAACTTGAAAGAATTTGTTTAAACTTTTTCTAATATGTATTTTGTGGTTAGCTATTCTGATTATTACACCTAAAACAGATAAATTATATAGAATTAAATTTGTTGGTAAAGCTAAGGTAACTTATGGTAACCTTGTTTTTTTACTTGCATAAAAAAGTTTAATTTTTCAGTCAAATTAATTAAGTTTTTCAATCTTTTTAGTGATAACAACAATAGAGTCTTCGGATTTTAAAGAAACCATTTTAAAATTTTTGAAAATAGAAGTAATAATATATAATTTCATATTATTGTTTATGTCCTAACTATTTTATAGGCTATAGTATGATTATATCAACAATCACATTGTTAATATTTTTCATAGAAACATTGGAACAAAATTTGATAGTAATTCCTTGATACAGTAGTGAGTTTGTTAGTTGGAACTCATATTACCTTCATATTTACCATTTAAAGCAACTTTTTTAAAGTGACATGATAAATAGTTTCATGTTTGATGGGACCTTGTCAATGTTTTCAAGTCATGTGGCCTTTTATTGATCCATTGCTAGATAAAAACCATTTCTTTAATTCTTTGGAGATAGTATCTCTATAGAACATACTTGAAATGAAGTAGAATGTAGATTAGGTAATTTAGAAATAGAATTTCATAACGTAGAACAATTATTGAAACCAGTTAATGATGTATAGAATTCAATCGAATTAGAATTTTGTAGAAAGTTTTTTGAGAATTTATTAAACTAGTATATGTTAACTTCGCCAATAAATTTTAGAAATAATTTTAAAAAAAATCGCACCATCAAAATTTAAAAAATTATATTTTTTATTTTTACAGTAAATAATAAAAAAGCTTATATCAATATATAGAGTAGATTATTAAATAAAATAACTTAAGTGGTGCATGTTTATGACGGTTACTGTATTAATTTATATTCGAAAATAAAATCATAATTCTAGTTTTTTAAAAAAATAAATTATCAGCGATCTAAGTAAATTCTCTAATAATATTATTTACATAAATTTCTTTTTGTTAAATTTCGCGTGTAATTTATCAATTTATTTTTTAATGCCCATTTAATTTGACTTAAATAAAATTATATAATTTATTGCGACTTTGAATTTTGTTTTTAAAAAAAGTTAAAAATTCCAAAATACGAAACATACGATAATAATAAGTATAATAAAAGCATTGTTTAAAAAACATATCAGATTGCTATTCCATATTCAAATTAATATTCCGAAGCCTAACTTCTGCAGTGCCCTTCTTGCTGAATCACCAATCGAGTTACCCCAATATTCCAATTGGTCAGTGTGGTATTCTTGCATAGAGCCTCAGCCAGTGCCATTCCTGCCGAATTTCCTATCGAGTTATCATCAATATTCAAACAGATTAGGGTTGTATTCTTGCATAGGGCCTTAGCCAGCACCCTTTCTGCCGATTCTCCTTTTTATATCTAACGTCTAATACAGTCAGGGTGGTATTATTGCATAGAGCCTCGGCCAGTGCATATCCTGCCGAATATCCTATTGAGTTAACACAATATTCAAATTGGTCAGGGTGGTATTCTTGCATAGAGCCTCAGCCAGTAAGAATACTGATGCATCACCAAGCTTCTTAGCACGCAGATTCCAATTTGAAGCATTCCTCCGATCTTCTGACGTATGTCGAGGATCATCAAGAATGAGTTTCCAACGTTCTAGTGCTTTTACATAATTCCCTTCCATAAAATAAGATACAGCTTTATGTCGGTGATCATGAATGTCATCTAAAACAGATATCCCTGATAAGATATGAAATTTTCAATTTACGTAATCAGTGTATATGTTTGCTTTATTTGATTTCACCAATCGGTCTCTACACGCCTACCATTTTCACCATCCGAAGAAATATCGTTAATTAAATCTTCCGGCGAATATAAATAACCATCAGATTCTTTTATCTACGCAAATATTTTTCTGAAACACTGGTTCTAAATTAGTATTTTAAAGGTAATCTAAGATGATATCAATTTTAGGACGTTTATTTGGATCACCATGCCAAGCTTTATAATAAATATTCACATAATCTAATGGAATGCTATTAATCGGTGTTTCTCTTTTTACCTTAATAATATCCAGAAGTGGGATTCGAGGAAATTTTCCACTAGATATTTCCCAGAAAAGAATACCTAAGCTATATATGTCGGATGGTTTATCTTGTTTATATGACTGATCATTTAGATATTGTGGGTCGCGATAAGCTTCTTGCGTGTACCAAATAGTGGATGTAATGTTCTTTTCTCTAATCTTCTTCTGGGATTTAGACAGACCGAAGACTGTAATAATTAACTTATTATTATATATCAAGACATTCTTAGAGTGCTAAAAATATTAAAAAATATTTATTAATTTACCAAATTGACCAATTAAATAGAATCATAGAGCATATACGCATACTAGATCCAGATGAATAATATTCGCTGCATTTATACAACATAAACTGCTTGCAATATCTTTCCCCATCTCAATTTTTCTTTGCCATCCTAATTCAGAAAAACTTCCATTTTTGCCTAGATTGTGTAAATAACCACGGAGTCCCTCCATTGGCATATTTAAATACTAAAAAATACATGCCCATACTTGCATCAATAATATGAAAACATAAATTTAAAATAATTTATAAAGACTTTAACAATGCTATGTGAGATGCTTACCCATGCTAATTCCCAAGAATCTTATAGCATTATCGCTTTCATCTACTGCACTAATGTTTCGCAACTATTTATATAGACATACCATATAAGTAATATCATTAAAATTTAAAAATAATTATAGAATAAATATTATTACCTCTCTCACGACAAAATTTATAAAATCGTCGTTCTTGCTTATGCAAGCCTTTTAAAACTGCCTGTTTTCTTGCTGTTTTCGAATAGGCCTTTTCAACCTTACCGAACCCTCCCATTGCAATAAGTTGAATTTGTTCGAATGAGCTGTATTCGTATTATCTAATACAGCCGTTCCTAATTGCCATACTAAGCCATTCTTCATTTTCATCATTTTTATTTGTATGGGACATAACGATATACACAATGTACGTACGTATTACTGTACTTAAAAAAGTGTGTCGTCACGTGATTGTCTCGAATCAAAATTATGACAATGGTGTGTTTAACTTAGAGAATGATTTTTGTAACACTGACAAGATTATAGCCTACCAATTATGCCAACCCTTATATATCATGTTAGTGATAATAATACGAGTCGTCTTTTGGATATATTATTACTATATTATAATGCATGGATAGGCGGATTTGGACTATGAACTGGCGTACGTATACATATTACAACTTTGCGATAAACTAGTTCATAGACTGTAGATGTATTAGTCTCGATAAAGTTCTCTATTGATAGGTTGGATGTGATTTGTGCATCATTATGAGTATTTATCATAGTATGCTAAATATCTCACGCTTTTGTATTGATAATATCCTACTATTGAGTAGAGATTGGTTGACTAAATCGCGAGTTTGACGATATGATTGCGTTTTACACGTCATTTTTGGAGGCAGATAGTAGGAGTATAGTCATCTGGATATGCTATCGGGTATATTAAATACATGCTATCTGCCTACGCTATATACACGCCATCAGGCATGCTATCAGGTAAATTATATCTGGAAACTCTATAATGTTATCAAATACGTATGCAACCTATGTTGCTAATTGCTATCGAGTATGCTATATTTCTGATAATAGTATTATTGGGTATGCCATCAAACATATTATATACATAAGTTATCGAGTTACAAGTACACATGTTATTAAAGTAGACTACCGATTTATGCTGTCAAAACGGATTCGCTCGCGTCTAAGTAAAAAAATATGTCCAGGGTATGTCTTGGTAGAAATATGTTGGACGATAATCTTCCGAGGGAAAAACTTTTATTTTTAACTTGTTCTTCTATATTTGTTATATTTCCATCTAAGTTGTCTAGGTAAAAAGTAGAATTCTAGGGGAAAAGAAAAACTCTTTCCTATATACAGTCCTTTGCTACACACCATACATATGCCATACGTGCGTATTCTATAAATAATATAAAAGTAAAAGATTGACAAAAATTTCTCAGCGTTTCCTGCTACGTATATTATAATTAATGAGATCTAGTACAAACTATACGGGATATCAGCAGAGTTGGCGCGGCCATTGCGAGTGTAAATTTTAAAAATCTGCAGGTGATTATTTGGATTAACATAATATGAATACTGTAATTTAAATTCTGAATTATCATGTGAATTTTAAAACACAGCGCCATGATAGTCTTCTAGCAATTCGAGATGATAAAATTAAGACGCAAAATTATTTCGAACTTGTGACTGTATATCCCAACCGTTACGATCTTGAGGTTTACACTTTAAGAAGTATATAAAATTAGTAAAATTTGTACATGTCATGCATCGGAAAATGGAAATTTATCAATATCGCGCGATCCGAGTCGCCTATCAATCTACGTATCATCATATACAGTATACACAGCGCATTTTTAATTGGTTTATACTCAATAAAGTTTATTCGCATCAGTGCAACCAGTAGGTTGACTACTATTACGTACAGCATATTGTAAAGTTCCAAAGTCCCACTATCATAGTGCAAAGTTATACTTTAAGCCTTTAATACTTGATCACAGAAATTCTAATAGTAGATTAATCTTACCTCTTGGACAAATATTCCCGGCATTGTCGGCACTGTTGCACTCGCTGCTAGTAGTGCTAGTCCTTGACGTTTCCATAGCTTTAACTAATATTAAAAAACTCTTTGTGATGAAAAAGCCACGAAATAATGAAGCAAGCAGTTAGACATACTGTCATTGACCGGTAATGACCTCCTTTCCTTATATCATGAAGTTTGATACCTAATAAACATCGCTCATATTGTTTATGCACCCAATTCTTACATTTTTCATTACATAGAGCGACGCTCTGAGATAAAGCTACTTCACAGAATATTCGTGCATGAGGGTTTCCCTATGTGAACATATTAATATTTAAAAAATAAATATGGATATTTATACAATTCGATGTGCCTTTACATCACTGGGGAGAGGACCAGGATGCGGAGAAGTGGGATTTGGAACAAATGCTACTTTTTGGTAGATTGTAATATCTGGTGCTAGTTTTTTTCTGATAACGGTTGGATTATAATGATCTATAGGAAAAATGTGAAATGTTATTGCAATCCAAAGATCAAGTAGAACTTGAGAGAATTAACTTACATGGCTGACCCTCAACATCTATTGGAGGGTCAATGATTACATCTCCGTTGGGAACTTTAAAATAGTCTTGAAGCAGTGAGACAAGGGCTTCGTGTTCTGGGTTGGCCATATCAACAATGTAAACATTTTCGTTGTCCCAGTGAAATTTGTATTCACTTGATTCTTTATGATCAAGAAAAGTGTTATAATCTTCCATTGAAACTTTCGACCCAATACAAAAGGGCAAACTTTGAACCATACAAGTCAACATTGAGCAAATCTTAGGAAAGTTATGTTGGACACACTTTTCTTCTAAGGAAAATTTTGGTAACTTGGGATAGCTATAGACTGTTTTATTAATTTTATGCTTAATTTTCGTTGCTTTTTTTACGACTGATTGCCAAGCATTCATTTTGGAAGAGCAGAATTCGAATACATTTTCCTGATCGATCAGTGCCGGCGCGAAAGAATAAATCATACAAAAACCGCTACTATTATAGTCATGTTATTTAAATAAATTTTTGAACATACTGTATCCGTATTTTGTATCAAACAATGACAAACACTATCTAAAATTTATTCTTTGAAGAACTAAATTCGAAGCTCTTAGTCAAAAGAGAATGCCGAAATTCCAGAACTTAGGGATATGCTGAGGTCGAGGCTTAAAACGTGAAGTTAAGACAGGTTATAGAAGAGAGCATTGAGCTTAAAATCAGGTTTGAACAGTTGGAGAAAAAAAAAAAAAAAAATAAATAAAACTGATACTGCCAAGCTCACTGAGCTTAAATATAGAGTCACGAAATTGGAACAGAAACAGACTTGGGTCATTACAAGCATCTTTTACAAAAGATATTCCGCGACCTATCGACTCACGGAGTAAGGACACTAACGTGCCTGAAGAAATGATTATCCCTGATTCTCACCTGTAATATAGCATAACTCGATAAATACGACTCCTTAACAGAACTTGAAAAATCGGAGATTCGATGCTCTGCATCACCCTCTGCAACCTCTTTACCACAAGTTGATACATTTAAGCAAATGTCAGAAAACGCATCTGATATATCTGATATTGCTTCAAAATTCCGGCGTATATCAGAAGTCGAAGATTCGTAAATCATAGGAAGATAAGCTGATCGATGAATTCCTGGATGAGGAGCAAGAAGTCAAGAGCAGGGTTTTAATAAAAGAGTTGTATTTATCTACTGATAAACAATGCCTCATTTATTCTGCTATAGTTAATACTAACTCTACAGAAATTAAAGGTCCAGCTCGACATCTATCTTATTCATTTAAAACGTCAATCAATTCTCGACAAGTATTATTATTCCCTTGAATTCGAAAACAGGGTTCATGTTATTACAACCAATGGTAGGATCAAAGACAAAACAGCAAGAACAATTATTTATAAATAAATGAAACTTTTCTTCTTAATATCACTCAAGATAAGCTAATTACATATAGTAGAATGAAATTTCAAAATTGACTAATGTACAAATTTGGAATACGTATTATATATTGCCGTGGGTCACGTGGGTCACGCGATTTACGCGTAACGGTCTAGAATTCAAAAATCCGAAAGTCTGGCATAAAAGATTGAGTGTCACAAGGCAAGAAACTATAGATTAAGGCTTGGGCACTGATAAGGGAACTATGTGTGTCTGACAAAGTATGGAAAGTTTAACAAAATTTAGGATTAGCATAACCTATTA